GAAGGGGGGAGGAGGAGGGGGAGGAGGAGGAGGAGGAGGAGGAGGAGGAGGAGGAGGAGGAGGGAGAGGGATGATGATGATGATGATGAGATGATGATGATGATGATGATGATGTGATGATGATGATGATGAGGATGAGGATGAGGATGAGGATGAGGATGAGGATGAGGATGAGGATGAGGATGAGGATGAGGATGAGGAGGAGGAGGAGGAGGAGGAGGAGGAGGAGGAGGAGGAGGAGGAGGAGGGGAGGAGGAGGAAGGAGGAGGAGGAGGAGGAGGAGGAGGAGGAGGAGAGGGGAGGAGGATGAGGAGGACGAGGAGGAGGAGGAGGAGGCGGAGAAGGAGGAGGGGAGGAAGAGGAGGAGCACGAGGAGGAGAAGTACGAGGCGTCACATCAGGAGGAGGAACACGGGGGTAACGAGGAGATACAGGAGGAAGAGGAGGAGGGGGACGAGGAGGAGGAACAGGTGGAGGAGGAGGGGGGGTCGGAGGGGCATGATGAGGAGGAGGATGAGAAGGGAACGGATGAACTAGGCGGAGCTGGGGGAGGAGGAGAACAACAACAGGAGGAGGAGGAAGAGCTAGGCGGAAGAGGAGGAGGAGGAGGAGGAGGAGGAGGAGGAGAGGGAGGAGGAAACGGAGGACGTGGAGGAAGGCTAGGCGGAGGAGGAGGAGGAACGGAAGAGCAGGAGGAGGAGGAGGAGGAGCTAAACGGAACGGTGGAGGAGGATGAGGAGGATGAGGAGGCGGAGGTAGGCGGAGGTAGGCGGAGGATGAGAGGTGGAGGAGCAGAGCAGAGCTGAGCAGCACCAATGATCCGATGAATCAGAACGCCTCAAGACTACGGCACCCCTGCAGGGCAAGAGGAACACAACAACGGATCAGGTGTTCGAGAACCACTTGAGGGGCCCGAGAATTTATGGGGCCCTGCAGGGGGATGCCTCTGGCAAAAGCGAGACCCTTCAAAGGGAAGACCACGAGGGCTCGCCTATGCACTCCCACACTCTACAGAGCCAGAGGCAGGCGACGAGTAAGCCTACCCCAGCACAACCCCAATCAGGGCTCACGGCGCGGCACAGCCCAGACGTCCAAGGTCCGCGTGGGCCCCTCGAGACGGCCATCCCCCAGAGTGCTCTCGGCAAGGCGCAGCTGGCGAGGGGCCTCGGACAATGCCCGAAAGCTCGCGGCGTCCAGGAACGCCTGAATTGGGGAAGACCTGAAAAACACCCTAACCTCCAGGTCACCGTCTGAATACTCAAGAATTGGAGTGGGGGTCCGAGCCTGGAGGGCGAGGAGGGGAGCATTAGACAGGTGACCCTGGATATATAGCTCGGCTGCGTGGCGAGAGCCATTCACAGCCGTCAGTTGTGCCCTCACTGCCGAGGGTCTCACTCGTCCTCGTCCTCGGGCCTCTCCTTGAGACCCAGCTTCTGCACGAGCCTGGACGCCTCGCGCTCCAGCCCCCCTCTCGGCGGAGAGCCTGGAAGGTAAGTCACCGCCTTGTCCTTGCTGCTCGCCGCCAGCAACGTCACCGGCAGCGCCTCCATCAGCGTGTGCTGGCAGCTCTCCCACTTGTTGGCTTGCTGCTGAACCCCCAGCATGATCTGTAGCTTGAAGCGGTCTGGGGCCTGCATCTTCTTCTTGTCGTACCAGCAAGCCTTGATGCGGAAGTGGCGGCAATGGACGGCCATCAGCTCCAGCGCGTTCTGCTTCATGATTACCGTCTGCCAGTAGCTCTTGAAGACTGCCTGTGCCTCCTCGGGTGTCGTCTTCTTGCCGTCCGTGCAGGCCCACTTGATGAAGGCCTTGAACACGTGGGGCCACGGTGGCCCGTACTTGTGCTCCTTGCCGTCCGCCTTGCAACTCTCTGCGTACGCGCGCCCTGCCTCTTGCAGCACCTTCACACAGCCCACGCCCGCGCCGACCATGTAGCACGTAAAGCACGCGCCAGTCAACTCGGCCAACTCGCGCGCGTTGGTGAGAGCGAGCTTCGTGAGGACCAGCAACAAAGCCGCCAGCGCCCCGCCCTTGCCGCCCTTCTGGTTGGCCTGAGCTTGCTCCCCGATCTCCTGAAGCAGGCGGGCCTTCTTGACCTCGCTGGGTGCTCCGTCCCGCTGCTTGCGTTTCACGGCCCAGCTGGGCTCCTCGACGTCCATCGATTAGTACTAGCGGCAAGTCCTCAAAGTGAACTCTGAGGAGGAGGAGGTAGGCGGTGGCGGAGGAGGAGGAGGAGGAGGAGGAGGAGGAGGAGGAGGAGGATGAGGAGGACGAAGAGGAGGAGGAAGAGGAGGAGGAGAAGGAGGTATGCGGCAAGGGGGAGGCGGATGGGCGGGCGTTGGCGGAATTGGAATGAGGAGGGTCGGGATGGAGGGTCGGGTCCTCCCGAGGGAGCGGCGTCCCCGCAGCAGCCGTCTGTGCGGGCGGCGCCCCCCTCGCCGCTGCGGGCCCAGGGCCCGCTGGAGAGGGCGAGCCTGCTGCCGTTGGCGCCAGCTGGCCAGGCCTTCGGCCTCCCTCTCTCTTTCCCTTTGCTCCCTCCCTTCCTGCTCCTCCCTCCTCCCGCCCCCCTCGTCCTCCGTTCTCCATTCTCCCTCCCTCTATTGCTCCCTTCCTCCCTTCTCATCCCTCCTCCCTCCTCCCTTGGTCTCCGTTCTCCATCCTCCCTCGACCTTCTTCCCTACTTCAGCCGTTCTGGCTCAGGCGATTGGGGCCTGAGCTTGCGGTCGCGTGCTTCAGAGCGGCTCGTGCGCGCGAGCTTTTCGAGAAAACGTTCGCACCCTGTGTTGTGCGCGTTGTATGGCGTTCCCGCCAGATGTGCAAGCGCGGCTGGGTGTGCACCTGGGCATCCAGAGCCGAGCGATGAGTCAAATGGAAGATTTGTGATGCCGCGGCGCCAACGACTGTGGTCACTGCAGAAAAGAATTGTGCGACAGCGGGGGCCCACCCGCGGGTCCGAGGGCCCCAGGAGGAGCCTGGGCGCGTGGACCACAGCAACAATCGGTTCAGATGCGGCTGCTCAAGGACGTGCAAGCCCAGGTCGCCAAGCTCCCGCTCGTCGGGCGCACAAGCCACCACCATGGACGGAGCCCGCCAAGTCAGGCGACCAGCCTTCATTTTCGGCAACAGCTTTCGCACCAACAGGGCGCGGACGTCGTTAAAAAGGAGGGGATCGACGCAACGGTAGCGGAGGCGGCCGAGGCAAACAGGAACGCAGCAATCGGTACATTTGGCAAGGCGCCAACGCAGTCTGCGCAATGGCGGGCCGAATGTTTGCGCACAAAAAGGTCCAGAACAAAGAAATCAATGCCATGGTCGAAACGATCGAGGTGCAGCGTGCAGGGTTGGGGAAGGAGCTGGGGGACACTCGTGCGCACTTTGAACAGTGGGAAGGAGCCGCACGAGGCTGAAGGACGGCTGTGTAAGGCGCACTTCCACGAGCTCGACGGTCCATTCAAAGTCCTCACGGCAGGGCTCGGGAGATCGGTCGCCGTGTCTGGCCTAGGACGCACGACGCTCGAGGTCCAGCTCGGACTCCAGCAGCAGGCCGCCGCCCAGGCCGCCCAGGCTCGCGCGGCAGCCCTGTCTGCCGCCGGTCACGCAGCTGCGCCCGCTGGTCCTGCAGGCCCTCCCGCCGCCGGGCCACCTGCCGCCGAGGACGTGCCAGTGAGAGGTGACGACGACATCGACATGGTCGTCCTGGGAGGGGATGACTAGTAGGCCGGGCAGGGGACCTTGAGGAAGTCAGCTGAGGTTCTGCGCGGAACCACAGAACTGGAGCAGCGGGAGGCAGCCAAGCTCGCACTCCACGAGCTTTGTGATGCGTGCCTGGGACATGCATCTTTCTCGTCCTGGTGGCGTTGTCGCAACGGGAGTGGGCGAGCTTGCTTCCAACGTGCGCGGGCGTGCTTCCAACGTTGGTTGGACTACTTCCAGTCTGGAAGGTGGCGCATTGGGCATGCATTCCGCTCGTCTTGGTGGGGCCGCGCAGGCCGCCGAGTGAGTAGAGTCGTTTCCACTGTGGGCGGAGGAGTCTTCAACATGGGTAGCCACTTCCCAAAAGCAGCAGTACACGTCGGTGTTGGCAGCCCTGCCCGTCCCAGCGGCGCTTGCTCCGGCGGTGAAGCAGAAGCTGCGGTCTGCGTAGATTCTGGCAGCAGCGGAAATTATATATATATATATATATATATATATATATATATATATATATATATATATATATATATATCCCGGGGGACGAGGTCCCCCGGCCGAGCCAAAGGACCTCGGGGGCGCATGGGGGTGCAGGGCCCCCGGGGCCGCTCGGAAGGGTTCCTGTTCGGCTCCAGAGACCGCCAGGGCGGGCTCCAGCCCAGCCAAGACAGCCCGCGAGCGCTCCAACACGCGCCAGCATGGCTTCCAGACGAGCCCAGCGGCCACCAACACGCCCCAAGCGGCCTCCAAGACGCCTCCCAAGAGAGCCCCAAGAGGCAAACAACGTTGTTTTTTTCATTGTTTTTTTTCAATGTGTTTTGTCTTCTCGCTTTTCCTGCTTTCCGACGCTCCAATACGGCCCAAGAGGCCCCCAAGAGAGCCCCAGGACGGCCCAAGAGGCCCCTAAGCCGGCCCCAAGACGGCCCAAGAAGCCCCCAAAGGCGTCCCGAGACGGCCCAAAAGGCCCCCAGGACGGCCCAGGAGCCGCCCAAGACAGCTCCAGGAGGGCCCCGCCATGGCCTGAAGACTGCCTGAGCGAGCCCAGCGGACCTCCAACACGCGCCAGCATGGCCTCCAAACGAGGCCAGAAGCCACCAACACGCCCCAAGCGGCCTCCAAGAGGCCTCCCAAGGAGCCCCAAAAGGCCACAAACGTTGATTTGGCATTTCTTTTTCTATTTGTTCTGCCTTCTCGCTTTTTCTGTTTTCGGACAATGACAGACGGCCCAAGAGGCACCCAAGACAGCCCCAGGACGGCCCCAGAGGCCTTTGAGCCGGCCCCAAGACAGCCCAAGAGGCCCCCAAAGGCGTCCCAAGATGGCCCAAGTGAGCCCCAAGACAACCCAGGAGCCGCTCAAGACAGCCCCAGGAGGGCCCCGACATGGCCTGACGACTGCCTAAAAGGCCAGCGAGCCTCCGACACGCGCCAGCATGGCCTCCAGGCGAGCCCACAGGCCACCAACACGCCCCAAGCGGCCTCCAAGAGGCCTCCCAAGAGAACCCCAAGAGGCCACAAACGCTGATTTGTCAATGGTTCTTTCGATGTTTTTCGCGTTCTTGCTTTTTTTGCTTTCCGACGCTCCAAGACGGCCCAAGAGGCCCCCAAGAGAGCCCCAGGACGGCCCAAGAGACCCTTAAGCCGGGCCCAAGACGGCCCAAGACGCCCCCAAAGGCGTCCCAAGACGGTCCAAGAGCGCCCCAGGACGGCGCAGGAGTCGCCCAAGACGGCCCCAGGAGGGCCCCGACATGGCTTCAAGATTGCCTAAGCGAGCCCAGCGGACCCCAAGAGGGCCCCACGAGGCCGCAAGAAGCCCCCCGAGGCCCCCCAAGCGCCCCCCAAAAGGCTCCCTGGAGGCTCCCAAGAGGCCCAACAACTCCTCCCAATACGCCCCAGAGACTTCCAGTATGCCTCCAACAACTGACCCCGAGAGGGTCATGCGAGGCCCCAAGACAGCTCAATGATGGCCACGCGAGAGCCACACCATACAATATGATGATGAGGAGGCGTAAGTAATGGTGGCGAGGGGTGCTGATGACAAGGATGGAAGGGGAGCGAAGGATGAGGAGGACTGGGGAGTGACTCGAGGTGAGGAAGGACGAGAACGAGGTGTAGGAAGAGAAGGAGCGGCAGATTGAAGAGAGCGGGGAGGACATGGAGGAGGCTGATGATGATGAGGAGGAGGAGGACGAGGAGGAGAGGAGGACGGGGAGCAGTGACGTAACCAGCCCTTAACATTTACGCTCCCAAGAGCGAAGGGTGCCATGAGCCGTCTCGGGCAAGTTCCTTCAGCGCTCTTTCCGTTTCCGTGCACAACCATTGGCCCATCCATGGAGCCATGACGGGGCCCAGGTCAGCGCCGAGGTTGTTCCCGGAGCTTCCAACAAGGTCTCCGAGTTGCACTTCCGCGTCCTGCTCCACCGACCCCGTACCCCATATCGGCTGAAGACATGATGCTGCTGCCTCCGCAGTCACCAGTCAGTATTCTCCTGCTTACTTTTACGGCACTGCAGGCTGCCATCCATATCGCGGGTCGAGCCGCCGCTCCCTGCACCTCCGTATTCGTGGTCATGGCTCCAGCTGTTACTGAGAGGCCGCGACACACGTGTCATAACTATCCAATTTGCAGTGGACTCCAAGCTCAGATCCCGGTCGAAGGCACCAACACACGAGAACGTCAAAGATTTTGCAAGCGGTGCTTTTCGGCAGATACACGGTGTGCCCACCCCCAGTGCGAGGCTCCTGTAGCTCCACCCTTCCGACGGCCAAAAACACATGTCACGTCTACTTTCTGCACAACGCACTATTCCGACCCATGCCACAATACCACGCGTGAGTGGAACTTGTGTAGGAACGCCCGCGTCGGCTGCCGCCTTCTGGCAACCAGCAAATCATCTGGCCCGTGCTTTCCATGCTCTGAAGGCTCCCTGCCCTGTCGCTTCGCGGTGCTGGGGTGTCCTTCCCACGTCCGGCAAAAGGTCAAAAATGCATTAGGCCGGCTTCCGCAATGCGTTAACCATCACAACAACCATTCTTGCCCGTACAACCCTGGTTGGCAATTCGCCTGCGCATCGCCTGGCTGCCAGGAGGAATGGAGCGATGGAACCCACAGTATTTGCGTCCCATGCCAAGCCGGACGTCGACCGTGCACAGTGTGCTTCTCGCGCCGAGGAGCGCCCGGAACTCCAAATCTGTGCGCTCACTGTGGCGGAGCCAGCCCAGCCGCCAGCCCTCCTGTAGCCGCTCCAGCGCAGTCTTCGACGGCGCTTGCATCTACGCCCTCGCGATGTAGCGCTCCGAAGTGCGGGGCGCCAGCGGTGCAAGAAAGCACATTTCGAACGGGCGCGCAATGCCCCATGTGCATCGTCGGGGTCTTTCCTTGCGCTACGGCCACCTGCAACTTCCGCGTCCCTCGACAACACGGACAGCATTGCCTCGTCTGCCAACCGCCCGCCCTGCTCCACTTCTGCCGCACGCCCGCGTGTACGAACGTAGTCGAGTCGCCAGAGGACACTTTGTGTTGTCTTTGCACTTCGTCTTGTTTCCCATGCGCGACGCGTAGGTGCGACGGCCGTTCCACCCCTGGTTCAGCAGGCCTGTGTCGAACGTGTGGGCTGTCCACACCACAACCACTACCATCCCTCTCCAAACGATCCTACGAGCAAACCGAACGCCCTTGTAGCTCGTCTGGGTGCAACGGTGTAGCTCAACGGAAGTCGTCCGGCGGCCTCTGCATCGCGTGCCATCGGAAAAGGGAAGCCATGTAGCAATCGTGCCATTGGGTGTGCTTTTCGCGTGGGCCCTCTCGGCACCG